GCTACGGACACCTGCTGTGCCGAGTCTCTCGTTAGCAGTCTTGATTTTGGATTAAGTAAACCTTGTGTTTTCGATTTCACAACCCAACTTTGAGGACTCCCATCGAACGACAATCTCAATCCAAGTCCACGATACAGTCAGTTATAGCTATTGTAACACTTTTCACTGGAAGATAGGCGTATTCTGGCACTTGTTTCTCACTTTATTAATGCGACGTAGCTTGCTCGAATGCCCGGACGACTGATGGGGATGCAGAGTGTTTTTAGACCACCGTTTGCCACACTCTCAGTTCCGCCAGTTCCTCTTCTGTATCCCCTCTCACATTCGAAAACTTAATTTACGCAGCTTGCCCAACATGTAGCTGCCCTTCAACATCCAACAGCTTCTTCCTCCGGGCGCTCGCTGGATTAATTTGCCCGGTCTGTCCAGCCTACTTTATGGTGTCGCAAGTCAGCCGCCGACTGCTGGTATCACAGCCCCGGTGCGGCCAAAATCCGTCATTAGATCTTTCCACGCTCCTTCATATCCAATCGGAGCAAACGGCCAAAATAAGTCAGCTTTAAAGTCAGTTCGACCAATCATACTAGTGTTTCTAGCCGTTATCTCACCTTCTACGTCTGTGAACCCCTGAGTGACAGATGTTTTCTGGTTGGTACTGGTGTTTAAATGAGTGTCGTCTCTCCCACAGCAGCCGCATTTCGGTGTCCCCAACCCAGCTTCTTCTTTCAGACCGTCAACACCTTGCTTATCGTTAGTTGCGGAACCTGATGCCTCCGACTGGGAATCGGCTCCCGGCGTCTCCTTCCTTGCATCTTTGCCTTTGCTGAAATCTCCTGGGCCATTTTCGGTACAGACTTTCTCACCGCTTTCGATCTTGCGGTCAACTGCCATTATTCCAGTTTACTCAATCCGCTCGCCAAGCCAACCGTCTGACGTATCAACTCCTCCGAGGTGTCTCACCAAATTGTGGTTCTGGAGGCTCAACCTGATAGTCCATTTCGGCAGCTCCTCGACTCACCCGTCCAAGCTCCAGTGCTCCAGTGGATTTCATGTGTTAGCCCACCTACTGTCGCGCAGTATATTCTGGCCGAGCCTCTGGCGCCGTTTCAGAAGCCCCAAACTACTCCGGGCAGTGATCCAAACGGCGACCAACTTCGCCAACTGACTAGCAAGGTTGTCTGCAATACGAGAAGGGCGGACAACGGGGGTTTATAGGTGCGAGACATGGTTAGCTGTAGGGAAGGGCAAATGTAGATGGCAAGTATTTAAATATAGTTTAGGTTTCTTATAAAAAGCATTAATATATATAGCATTAATAATATGCACGAATATTAATATTAATGGCATTAATAAATTCGAGTATTTTTAGCTGAAGTTTGTTTAGCTTTTTTTTCCCAAAAACTTATATTCGAACCAAGCAAAATGCCTGATTGAAACATGTGCTTCAGTTGGCGAAAGCAGAAGCTATACAGAGGTGGAGGGATTAGCATCCCGGAGGCCCCGAGTCGAGACCATCACTTATCGACCAAGTAGTTCTTCGTCGCCTTCAAACCTTCGCCGTTTCATCACTTCCTGTGAGGAATCCGACCCTAGAACAAAGTTCCGTCACTCGGGTCCTTTACAACAGCTAAAATGTCTGGAGATTCGTTATTGGCCTCTAAGCAACTAAGTTCGTACAACGATATATAACTGAACATGATTAGTGTTGGTAAAGGAGAAGGCTTTTAGAGTACCGGAACAGTTTGTTTAGAGTCCTGAGCTTGCACTATTATACAGGAGTTAATCGTTAGAGGTACCAACTGCAACACAAAAGGCGCAATTATAGGGGATATAAAGCAATCAACTCTTAGTAAAGTAAGTCTGGAATTGATTGCGCAGGGCTCTGTATTCTGGCACTGTATCGATAGATCAATTGATTGAGTTCCCATCCGTGTACTAGGTCACACTCAATTCTCGGCTCGTCTTAGTTTCGGCATGAGCGATTATCTTGATGGTTGCGAAGCTAAAATCAGGGTCTAGACCATAGGCGTGGGAAGCATTTGTCGCTGGTTCGTCCAGCCATCTTGTTTTCATGTATGCGCGATGCGAGCGTGCGTTCGGTTTGACATGTGTACTTACAAGGACAGCTTTGGTATAGGGTGTGTTATACTACCCAAATTCCTCGATCAGATTAAGCAGGTCTCCGATTTCCATCACCCTGCTGCGCATAGATGCCTTAGGTTGGTGAGTACTTCCAATTCATATTCCTTAGTTCAGTCACTTCTAAGGCGTCCCTGATGTAAAGCAGAGCGTGCTATATCCTCATTGGTGCTTTTGTTTGAGTCCTCCGAGCCCGAATGCGCATGTTTCGGCTTATAAAGCCCTCAGGATATCCATTTTGCCTATAGTAGTTGCAGAGACATGGGGCCCCACGATGTAGAATACTCACTATAGTCTTCCCAAATCCCACTTCTATATTTTTGTAGACGTTGGTGGCAGTCGTCGAGCATAAATCTCGTGATATCCTTGGCCAAACTTCTTTTTGACTTATTTGCCCGTAGCTATGTTAATGGGTGTCTTATACCTGAGGCATCGTGGCGTTATTTCTTCTTGGAGGCGTCTAGGAAGAAAACGTAGCTCTTAATATGTTGCTGTTTCTCATGTGGAGAATATCTTTCGTCTGCGAGCTATGCGAAGGGCGTCACGCCCGAATTGATCTCATTCGTCCGTAATAATTAGTATTAGTTAACTTACAAATTAATCGAATTACTGAACTGTGGACTACTATCACATACTAAAGTGTTGCCCCAAAATAACCCCAATCCTAATCACAACACCAATTTTTTTACGTTATCATACCGTAACTGAATGAAATCCAACCCAAAGAGCTTCTTACAGAAACATTTAATGTCTGCCCAAATAAGATAAGTAGGTAAGTACAAAATCACGCAAATGTGTGCATACCGATTTAATCTTTAACCTCCTTTGATTGTAGAAAATGACTACATAGAGGCGCGGCTTCGCCATATAAACTTTTATCGTTTTCTTACTTGCTTGCTGACACTTTGTCTACCACGCCTAATCTGCACTTTGATATTACGACGTCTGTTCGCCTGCAGGCAGCCTATTCCTTATATCGGAGCACACTAAGGCCATCTGTCCGGCAAGCAAGGTATACAACATCTCGTTCCAATAAGGCGGCCATATTTTGGTATCATACTTATTTTGGTGCTAATAGCCATCACTGAATTTCTCCCTTGCTCTTTCACCTCCCAGCGAAAAATATCAGTAAAACGAGTCGGCACGAAGTTCACCACAAACGTCTCCTTCTTCTTCAGTACAATTTATCTCATTGACACCTCTAGCTCTTGTCTCACCTTCTGCGACTGCAACAACCGGAGTGGCAACAGATTTCTATGCAAGACTACAGTGCAGCTTAATATCACTTTTGCCGTAGAAGCCGACCTTTCGTGGGGCAACCCCGGCCTTTTTGTCTAGATTGTACACTTTTGCTCAGAATGACACCTTTGGATCCCCGTACCTTACCCCAGACAGTGGCTACGGAGATCTCTTCCCATGGGTATTCGTTGTCGCTGATGTTCCCTTTGTCAGGTGCAGTGCAGACACACTTACCGCTTGCCAATACCCAACATTCCCTTATTCACAGTCCGACTACCGTGATCAACTTCGAGGTATCTCTGAGATGTCACGTTTAATGGCAGTTTTGCACCTTTACATAGATAGCCAATTTCCTTAGGTCCTCGTCGAACACCTCGACCTCATTAGTCCGCAATTCAGCCCCTCGACCTAATTGGACGACCTTGTTCATCAGGTCCGAAAGGCCGCCCCCCCTCTTTTTACTCGGCACCACCGTTTTGTGCCTGTTATTGTACTACGGCTAGGACTGCGTTAGAGTTGCACTGCACCGCTAACCGACTGTGTTACGATAGGACAAGGAACATGTGGTATAGTGATTGGAAAGCTGAACTTCTATTTAACAGGCTATTGCTTCGAGCTTTACGGTTTTCGATATCTAGACTTAGTTAATCTGAAAGATAACGAATAATAGACCACAGATGGGGACTGTCTTCTCCGGCACCCTTTTTGATAGTGCTCTTCGCAAGCTCACTGAACTCTCTGGCACCCAAGGGTTTATACCGATTCTTCTCTGCTAAACTCGTTTCCGATATCTCGTCCCCTATATGACGACCTCTGAGCGCACATTTTTCGCCGCAGGCTGACAATATTTTTTATTTTTCCTAGTCCCAGGGGTACTCTACACTCTGCTTCGGAACATATCTTCTGGTGCTTGTGTTGGAGAAGTAAAGACAATAATTATTGTCGCAAGGCAAATTTGAGCTCCTTGAACTCCCAGAGTGCTGACCCGGGGTTTGGATCATCTGCGAAATATGTGTCCGCGTATGCCTATGCTGCCGGCCCCATCGGTTGGTCAGAATACCGATTGGCTGAATAAAGGCAAATAAGGTCAAGAGAGTTCTGTATCAATATACTCCCACACTCTGTAGTCCTCCCCGCATATGTAATCCTGACGACTGTCCAGTAGCATAAATACTCCTGTGTCACTGCTTGGGTTATTCATATATGGAACTTTTGCCCACAGCAAAAACCGTTATTTGTCTTTTACGTAGAACCCATCATAGAAACCAGAATATTTTTTATTTTTCTGCCAAATTTATAAAAACAATAAGAAGAACTGTGAAGCAGTTAAAAGAAGGTAGGACAAATGACAGAATTTAGAATGGCGCATAACGAGGAAGGCAGAGCGTTCGAGTGATGCGTTTAAATTGGCAAATTGTTGTTTACACAGAGATTCGGAGCGCATCGAGTCCTTAAAGATGACAATCGGACTTAGACTTTTTCATACTGGCCAAGCTTTTGGGCCAGGCAGCAGGCGGCAATGATAGCCCCAAGTTGGAGGACCGCCATGATAAATAAGATAATGCCCACGGCTAATGATTTTTGCTTCACATACTCATACATGGCTTGTGCGCAGCCCTATCAGAGAGAAACATAACCACCATATGTCCTCGGAGAAACAGGAGTTAATCTAATACAAGTAGACATTCGCTGTAACAAATAACATAGTTGGCCTCTATATTTATTCGCATCAAACGGAAGGTAATAATACGCAGCATTCAAATTCAAGCTACCCGAACATTTATCATTCTTCAGCGGCTTGTGTTAACCCTACAGAGTTAGTTGGATCAAAGTAGTTGCAAATATCTAAAGGGAAACCCCCAAGCTTGTTTATGTTTAGTGTGTTTTCATACAATTGAATGGCCGTTAGCTTTACATTAAACATGTACTAATAGCACTTTATTGTTCTTGTCAGACCGCGTGTGTGTACATGTACTTGTGTATGCATTCAAACAACAGAATCTGAGCAAATTAACTTATATAGTTAGTCGTTTTTCGTATAGTATTCCTTAAATGTCAAAATGTTCTTAGATAGGTGCATTCATATATGATAGGTCTTTCATAGTTCGCTGATTCTAACAGTGAGATATCTATAGCATTTTTATGCGTCCAAACGTAACATGGTAGCTGAAGGCTTTCGAGAAGTATATTAAGCAAAAATGATGAGTTTAATGTTCGCCTACCTGATCGTATGGCTTTGTGCAGTTTTTGGGTTCGCCTTCGCAGCAGGAGGAGGGATAACGGGTACCCCAGTCGTCAGCATTATGACCTCCGCAACATTGGAGCTAAATATTAGAAATGATCATGTGGAAGACCAGCTTACCTTTTGTTGTAGTTCATTAAGTGTCTCCAGGGTGTCATTCTTTTGTGGCTGACTCATATTTTCCAGCTCCGAAATCTGGTCTGCAAGGCCATCTCCTAGCCAGTTGACGAACTATGTTAGGTTAGGCACAGACGTGTTTACGTTTCCAAACTTCTTACCTTCTGTCTGTAGATAAAGACTAGTATTCCACCAATAATTTCGGCTATCAGTAAAATAATGATAATTGCTGCAAACTGAACATATTTTACTAGGATATTTGAAAAAAAACATTACGGTTTGTAGCAAGCAAATATGCTCCTTCCAGGCTCCGCAGCAACCCAGAAATCCGAGAAGAAAGATAAGCAGACCCAGTGTTAGAATGAAGGCAGGAACGCCAACATAGAGCCCCTCAACGTCCTGCTCTGCTTTCACAACAAAGTAAATTCCAAATCCAGATATAACACAACCAAAGAGCTGTAATGAAGAAGAACCCAAGTAATTCAATTTCATAAAGCCAACGATAACTACATGGAACATAAAATTATCATTTCACAATTCGCGACTACTAATTGGTCTAAACCGGTAAAATTTGCTCTGAGGTATATATAATGCGTTTGAATAATATCGAGATAAGTTTAACACCTCCTAATTATGTACAAATATTCCCAATGTGTTTTTAATGACAGAATTGCTGTGCCATCCAACTGGGGAACTTCCGTAACACGAAATGGAATATGATGTGTAGAAGAATATTGGCTTTCGGAAGAACTGCAATTAAAACTACATTCCTCTGTTCCATAGTTTATGTTGGTTCATCTCTATTATGATTAGGATTCTGCATTGAATATGGAACACAGCAGGTTAGCACGGAAACGACGATGCTTCGTGTACATTCGATTTTACTCCAATCCTCCATAGTCACCCACGAGTGTTTTGTTGAGTCGTCACGACAAATGGATACCTTTGTATTGGCGTCTGGTGCATGAGTTGTCCTTGTTTATCACTGGGCGTGTTCGACCATCGATTTCGATGAAGTCCGCTAAGTGCACCAATAGGTTGGTACAGAGGGTGACCGCCTCAAAAGGTAGCTTTAAAGTGTTAGAGGTCGCAGTTAGCGCCAACCACATTCTTCACCTTCGCCCGCAGTCAAGAAGACTAAACGGGTCCGGCGTAGGCTGCTTCATCTAATGCAAGCCAAAATACCGCCTAACTTACTCTTAAGTGAAAGTAGACTTAGCCCGGGTACTACTGTACAATCTACCCTCACTCACCCTTAGTAGGTGTGAAGACAGACCCAAGGCGGCCGAGATAGATACGGTTCCTAAAATTTCTACCACGACTGACTGCCAATGTAGCCAAGTCTTAGTAGTACTGGTAATATTTCTGATGCTAAAATTTGTCAGAAGTGACCCTTTTTGAAGTTAGTGCTGGGGCTCATATATCCTTTTTTCCCAACAAGGAGAGAAAAATTTGGGTTTATGCTATTTCGAGTAAATACAGATTTTAGGCCCTTATCACAGCGGAGCTTGCCTTGTTTTCCACCCTCTCAACTCTATCCATCGGGCTGTGTACGTATCTACTAGCTTCGACTAAGATACTGCTACTATAGGTATGCGCTTATGCTAAAGTGCTAATTTTATTCATCATGCTCTACTAGGCCAGTAAATGGGAGACAATAATACGGCCTTGTTTATCACTACTGTGTAAAGTAAGGACAGCGAATTGAAGCTAAATGTCTGTCTCCCAAAACAGATCAAGTTACAAAACGTTTGGCTCGCAAGGTTCAATAAAAAATAGTGATGCAAAAAGCCGGGAACATGGCTCACCTATGCAAGTCCGATGTTTTACATAATATATAAATGCTATTTATGTGTTCTAGCTTCTGTATAAATCTGCATGCCCGTGTACTTAGTTAAAGCTAACACTTCGTTCGTGATGACTGAAGCTTCGCATCCGCTCGAGTTTAATGGTTGTTCCGCGATACACAATCAAAAGCAAATGACGATTGTAACGTAGAATAGGAACGATTGTTCTTTACAGAACGTTAGGTGTTATTCAACCGTTAACAGCGAGAGCTATAAGTAACAGCAGGCAACCTTTTTTACAATCAATGCAACCCGTATTATCTGACTTTAGAGTTAGCACGCTCTAAGCATTCGCTCATTTCACACTGAGGCCTAGAGTGAACAAAATTGTTGGGTTATTTTACAGTCACGCTTGTGATAGGGAACGTGGGTTAACGGGCGTCTGCATTTCATGTTTGACTCGAAAGCCTTACAGTTGGGTAAATGTATACAAAACGACTGCAATGAAAGAAAGCACTTACGAAAACCAGTGTATTGAATACGAAGAGGGTGTACTTGATGCATTTTGTGCCGCAGGAAAGCTTCTCCATTGTGCCGTTCCAACGAAAGCTTTTGAGGTAGTTAACAATTTATATCAATTTTGCATTAGCGCCCCTTGGCATTTGATCATCCTCGGCCAATCAAATTAAAACGGGCCTCGTGTACCTGTCAGCTTGTTGAAAACGCATGTTAGTAAATGCTTTTCTCATGTTGGATGAGTAAGCCTCCAGCGTCATCCCGAGTTCACCCATTGCTGAGTGGCTTCTCTCATTGCCACTAGTATGTTACGCATCTCGGAGTCTGACTGTGTCTGACGGGACCGCTATATTGCGTAATCAAAAGAAATTTGCTTCGTCATGAGAAAACGTAACTTTTATAAATGGTTAACCCTGTACTGAAGTCGAGGTGCAGTTTCTTTAGGCGACGGGCATTTGATAATCATAAATATTTTGACGTAAAATGACTATCACAACCTAGTAACCTACCACTGACATGCCAAATGTCAGGTCTCGAATGGCAAATCCGTCTAAACGTTCTGTTAATGGGTTAGATATATCAAAAGGTGTGCGCCATAGGAGATTGACTTGAAGAGTCTGACATTTTGTTTCCTACTTTGTCATTTACAGAGAAGTAGTGGGTGAGAAGTTGAAGCATTTGAGACATGTTGCCCTGACATCAAAAGTATTTTTTCCCAAATATCAAGCATGTAGCGACCCCCTTTATTCTTAGTCACGCTTTCCTCGGACACCGCGCGGACTAGGTCATGTCTGGCGTGACCACCACGCGTCCGCAAGACACCATAGTCAAGGCCTCCGTTCAAGGTCACTCCTGTATGGCTTTCTCAAGGCGGTCTAGTCTCACTAGCCAACCACTTCTCAAGGTTAGACCAGTGCCCGAGATACGGACGATTTGTTCACGCTCATTCACTTCCAGAGCCGACGACTCACTGTTCGGTTGTAGACCTCCAGACCCGGTGATCGACTTGCCGGAATGCGACTCTGGACTGCACT